GGGGTTTTTCAGCCTGGAGAAGAAAAGGCTCTGAGAAGATGTTACTGCAGCCTTACAGTACTTGAAGGAGGCCTATAGGAAAGATGGGGACAATCTTTTTAGCAAGGCTGGCTGTAACAGGCCAAGGGATGATGGCTTTAAACTAACAGAGGAATATAAAGACTAGATAGATAGAAGGAAGAAATCTTTGACATTGAGGGTGGTGAGACCCTGTCCCAGGCTGCCCAGAGAGTTGGTCAATGCCCCATCCCTGGAACTATTCCAGGTGAGGCTGGACAGAGCTCTGAGCAACTTGCTCTAGTTGCTCACTAAAGGGGGAATTGCAACTGAAGGAAGAAAAAAAAACACCACCCCAAAAACAACACCAAAAAAACCCCAAAACAATGGGCTACGTGATTCCTGAAGTACAGACTGAAAATACCATTTCCTGCTCAATTACTTCAAAATCTAAAGATTGCTTCTTCACAGCATTAGCTGCTTAATTACTACCACTGCATCCTCCGACTGCACGCCTGTTGGGAAATTCCTCCTAAGGTTCAGCAACACGGGATTTCCAGAGCACAGTATTTCCACTGCAGCCTCCAGAGGAACACATCATAAAAATGAACATAAAAGGTTTCGATAAAAAAACATAGTCATTTAAAAATTTTAACTGACAACCATTAAGGGGAGAGCCCCGAGAGTCTGATGAGATACTATATATGTATCTCCTGTCAGTTAACAATTTGCAATTTTGACTTTGATGTCTTTATGGTAAAAAGAATGCCAATGGGAAGAGTCCCTATTGATTAGTCTTTGTGGCACGTTAGGGACAGACCAATGAGAATTAAAATAAATGGAGAACAGTAGGGAAGAGGAATGAAGTTCTGCTTAGCTCCGAAGTTATTTTAGCTTAGAAACATCACCCTTATTTCTCCATGTAAGGCACAAGCAACTTAGGGTCTGAAAGCAATCTAAGGGTTAAATTGTGGCCTTCTACAAGCCTGAGAGCAAAAGGTTCAAACAGACCCCACACCCCAAAGCTTCTGTAGCTGTATTAGGGATGCACCCTCAGACCCCTCCTTCCTCCACCCCCACACCTGCCCCCAGAACAACCCCAAGGTTTGTTCCCAGTGGGCTGTGGGTGCATGGGACATCTTCGACCACATGAAGCTCCTCATCTAGTCCAACCTGGCCTGGAGTGTTTCCAGGGATGGGGGACCTACCACCCCTCTGTGTAACCTGTGTCAGAGTTTCACCACCTTCAGCATAAATAATTCTTCCTTATCTGGTCTAAATCTCCCTCTTTTTGTATAAAACCACCACCCTTTGTCCTGTTACAACCAGCTCTGCCTCAGCCTGCCCTCACAGCAGAGCGGTT